CTTCAACACTCCTCCTCAAGTTGGTGCATATACGTCACAAATGCCCAACTTGGTAAGTGAGTCATGAAATTTGTAGCACCCGAGTTGATAATCCATGAGGATTTTTGAGAGGACGTATGAAAAGTAGAACCTTTGGTGGTGTTGATAGAAGCACAGGTCTGCATGCTTCTGTGAATCTGCAATAAGGGAAGTAAAAAAAGTGATATGAGAATGTGAGGGGTTTTGATTGGAGGAATTTGATTTGAGGAATTGGATGTATGAATTTGATGTAGGAATTGGATTTGAGAGGTATGTGTATAAGATTTGAGGAATTTGATTTGAGTAAGAGAAATTTGAGATAAGGCATTTGAGGACTTTAGATTTGAGGGATTTGAGGGATTTGATTTGAGGGATTTGATTTGATTTGATTTGATTTGATTTGAGGGATTTGATTTGATTTGATTTTTTTTATTTAAAATTTTTAAATATGAGAAATTGCACGAAGAACGCAAGCACAGGTTGCATGAGAACTAGGCTCCTCCTAGTACCACAACCAATTGGCTTGCTGCTGAGAATGTCCTATTGTGGCTACAAAGGAAGACGCGGGAGCCGGTGCAGTCGGAACAGCAGGACTTACATGATCTGCGGCAGAAAATGTGTTGAGTGATTTGCTCCTATTCTTGCAAGGAGCTTTGGAGTGGTCCCACCAATCCGGGTACCCAATCAGTTCGTAACAGCCAGCACGGGTATGTTTGCTTCCATTACAATTAGTGCATTTGTGTTCCGGCGGAGGGCCCTGTGAACGTTGAGTGGCCAGGACCGCAGTGTCCGAAGTACTGGCCATGATCAGTTGTTGTTGAGCTTCGCGGCGTACATATGCAAAGGTTTGGTCAAGGTCTAATTTGGGATCTTTGCGCAGGATTTCCCCCCGGACTTGATCAAACTGAGGGTCAAGCCCTGCAAGAAAAAGGTGAACACGAAGACGATCCAGTTCTGTCTGGCGCTCTGTCACGTCAGCGTCACAGTGCATGTGATTCGGAGTGCGATGATCAATCTCCTGAAAGATGGTCTGCAGCTGGTTGTAGTATGTGTGGACAGGTGCACCATTCTGTTTAATGGTGAAGGCCCGTTTGTTGAGATCAAAAAGGAAAGTTTCATCCCCACCATCAAAGTAGGTTTTCTTCACGGCATCCCAGATTTGTTTGGCGGTACTGAAACAGATGAAACGACCTATTAAGTCGGGAGACATGGAGTCGATAAGCCACCCCTTGACCCGAAAGTTCTCCGTACACCATTTGTTGTAGGTGGAGGAGAGCGTAGAGGGTTGCGGAGTGTCGCCGGTGAGGTACCCTAATTTTTCGCGGCCAGCAATATGTAACTCCATGACTTGAGACCATAAGGCATAATTGGTTTTTGTCAAGATGATGCCGGTAGGAAACGGAGCGTTGTCACTATGAATAGTAACAATTTGGGAGGATGATGGAGTAGAGTCGGTGGTTTGGGAAACGATATCCATGGCAGTGGAAGGATTGAAGAAGAAGAGAAAAAAAGATGTGTTTAGGGATTTGTGATAAGAGAAAAAAAATTGTGATATAAGGATTTAGGGTTTGGGTTTGAAGAACTTTGATATGAGGATTTAGAGACAACCTAGGATCGAAGGCTCTAATACCATGCTAAAATATGAATATGGGTTTTGAATATGTTAGGTTCTTATTTTTATTCTTCTCCATAAGGAGGTATATATAAGAGTTGACATGAGTGCTTTACAAGGAATTAGATCTAGTAAAGGATTAGGAAAGTATCTCCTAATTATACAATGATTTGACAACTATATAAAATAGGAAATTAAATCCCTTAATTAATCAAGGAAATAAATCTCCTTGATTAATTAGGAGACTCACTTCAACAGATGTAAATGGCTCGATACTATGTAAGTGGTTCAATACAAGTCATCATTGTTTCCAAACAGCCTTCCAATAAAATATGAAGGTGCTGTTGGTTTTATGCATTAACATTATAGGAACAAAATGAAGTGGACTTATCATCAAGCAGTTTTGCAGGACAAGTCTGAGAACCGTCAACATAACCATAGAGATCATTGGCTTGTAACAAAGGAGTGAATTGCGCAAGCCATAGCAGATAATTGGTGCGATCAAGTTTGATCGAAACCAAGTATGAAACGTTGGGGAGAGAACTGGCCAGTTAGAAGACGAAGCCATCTCAACCAACCACAAACAACCAAGAACAGGCACTCAAGCAAAAAAAAAAAAAAAAAATTGGATCGAGAGTCTCAAGACAAGAGCTCTGATACCATGTAAGAACTTGATATTATAATGAATAATTGTTATTGAACTTGTTGATTTACAATGATACATCCACACGGGATATATAGACACAGCAAATATAAAAAGTTACATTGGAATGCTCTAGCTAGGAATGGAATATTTAAACTGTCAGTGGATTGACTATTATATTCTAACTAGTGGAAACCAGGAATCATTATGTCTTCTATCATTGACCTATATGTTAACTAGTGGAATCCAGGGAATCATTATGTCTTCTATCAAAAAAAAAAAAAAAAAAAAATGGATCGAGAGTCTCAAGACAAGAGCTCTAATACCATGTAAGAACTTGATATTATAATGAATAATTGTTATTGAACTTGTTGATTTACAATGATACATCCACACGGAATATATAGACACAGCAAATATAAAAGTTACATTGGAACGCTCTAGCTAGGAATGGAATATTTAAACTGTCAGTGGATTGACTATTATATTCTAACTAGTGGAAACCAGGAATCATTATGTCTTCTATCATTGACCTATATGTTAACTAGTGGAATCCAGGGAATCATTATGTCTTCTATCAAAGAGTTCGTTCTCTTTGATTTACCTAGGCCATTCGCGTGGGTTGAAAATCCTTTTTTAGGCCCAAAACATTAATTCTTCTTTCTCCAATTGCTGCCCTCTTTGAAGGTCCATGGACAAAAAAATATAGGTCTAAACAGAAATTAATGACAAATACTTCATGAAACTGCACTTGTTTCCAAACAGATTTCCAATAAGTTGATGTGAACTTATTGTTCTATCATTGACCTATATGTTAACTAGTGGAATCCAGGGAATCATTATGTCTTCTATCAAAGAGTTCGTTCTCTTTGATTTACCTAGGCCATTCGCGTGGGTTGAAAATCCTTTTTTAGGCCCAAAACATTAATTCTTCTTTCTCCAATTGCTGCCCTTTTTGAAGGTCCATGGACAAAAAAATATAGGTCTAAACAGAAATTAATGACAAATACTTCACGAAACTGCACTTGTTTCCAAACAGATTTCCAATAAGTTGATGTGAACTTATTGTTAGCATAAATGGCTCGATACAAACCATGATATGTAAGTGATTCAATACAAGCCATCATTGTTTCCAAACAGCCTTCCAATAAAATATGAAGGTGCTGTTGGTTTTATGCATTAACATTATAGGAACAAAATGATGTGCAAATTTAAGAACTGCTATTTTTCACCCAAACAGATCATTCTTCATTGCATATATCATATATGCATCATCCAACAGATACATATTTATTTCGACTATCCAAAGACTAAATTAATTATAACCTCCAATTTATTTTTGTCTAAATTGAACTCTTGTAGGATTTTTCAAGTCTCCCTTATCGTCTCACTCACTTACCCAAAATGACACTCAACGAGATATAACGTAGCTCCGTCCTCAACTCCAGCAACCCACAGTAGAGCATGATCATTAAGATCAGTATTCCCCATTCGGAGTACCTTATTTTCGACGACGACACCTAAATCTGCGTGAAGTTTCGCCTTCAACTCACGCACATAAATACCATCGTAAACTATGTACTCATAATAAAACCCACCACCCTCTGACTCGTAGATCGTGACTCTAATTTTTTGAAGGACAATAAGGGTACCATATGGAGGAATTTGATAGTCTTGCAGAGTCAGTTCATCCCTTAGGAATTGCATTGCCCATGTCAGGTCTTGCTTGTCTGGTTGGATTGGGACGTGAAGCACTTCGGAGATGAATAGTTTCACTTCGAAAATTCTTGCCGTGACGGGAATCTGGCCACTGTATATTACTCCTCTCCATAGGACGTTGATCGTCATGTTCTATCAAATATACCAATCATTTTGTTAATATATGAAAAATGCGTACGTTGAGCATATAAACATAGAAAAATAAAATTAGATTAGCAGTAACAAAATTAATGAATTACAAGATAAAGCTTATGGAGTAGTGCGGAAATGCTTACCTGAGGAAAATTAGAGTTGGGATCCATTGTGTCACTAATTATTATTAGTTGTATGCTTCAAAATGAGCTTGTTAAAATGTATCTCCTCATGGCATTAGCATGGGGTTGCTTCATTGTGATTTGCATGCATCGAGAGGGCCTTAAGTCATGCATATTTTGTTCCAAAACTAGAAACCAAAAAAATCATTTCAGAATGGGGAATGATTTTTGAGGTTGGATACGATTTAGATTAATTAGTAATAACATTTTGAACGAAATATTTAAATTTAGGCCGTTGAATTTATTTAGATTTAATCTAGGCAATAGAATTGGAAATAAGCTTTAGCTTAAATAAAAACACTTGAACTCGGACCACTACTGTACCAAATCCTTTGGCATCTTTCTATACCCGAATTGGAGAGAACTTTCAGGCCAAAAACTCAAATAGTGGGTCTAAAACCCCAACATTGGAGATGGTCTAAAATGTTCACGTTTTAATTTAGAAAATATATATATATATGTTGGAAAACAAGTAAATAAATACATTGAATTCATAAAGATACTTGTGAAAATTTGCCATAGCATGACGAAAAATGAAATGGATAGCATCGCATTACCCCATTGACGAAGCGTGACAATGTAATAAGGCAATCAAACGATTAGTCTAAGAGAATCAAAGCCTGGAATTCACCAGATATGAGAAAACCTCTCGTTTATTGAATTCAGAATGATAACATAATACCTTAGTCACGGGCTAAAATTGGTTTAAATACTCCTAGAAACCCTAGGATTCCAAAGGGAATTAAAATGGGAAATTAACAAAAGTTTCCATAAACTAGTAAAATATTAAAAGGCCATTTTGGGTTGCTAAATGATCTCAAACGCTTGAAAAAGCCCATACATCATAGTAAAGCAGTGAGGTTTACTTGTAACTTGCCGGTTTTGCCCATAAATCGAAGCTTGGGGCCCAAACTTGTAACTTACCGGTTTTGCCTTTACGCGCACGACGCTCCAACTCTTCTTCTATTGCCTCAGCCATATATTCTACGTCAACCATCAGTATAGAGGTACATAAATTCCTCTTCCTTTATGTGCCCATAAAAGTTCTTTCACCTCTTGCAAATACCAATATAATCCACCTTAGCACTATTCCAAATAAATTGAAAGGTACCTACCTACAGGTCCCACTACTTTTTTCTATATTGTGAATGATATACAACTGGTTAGGTGCAATGACCTGTCTCCACATATAATGCAAAATATTTTGTTTTCAAATTATTGTAAATTGGGTAAAGGGCTTGTAACTCAAGTAGTTAAGAGTATTTATCCTTGCACGTGAGGTCCTAGATTTGATTTTCCTCTTTTCTAATATCAATTGTATAAATAATAATAATAATTTCTTGTAAAGAGGAGAAGCTCTACAAACTCACTCATTCCTAAAAAATAAGATTGTAATAAATCTCAAATGTATATGTATAATTACTGATAAACGTCTAAATTACATGTATAAAGTAAACCTAAATATGATATACTCATGTAGCAGATTTCGACTCTAAGACATTCGAGTTTAGGACTTGCTGAGAGAGAAAATAGTGATGTTCCAATTTGGTGTTCCAAAGTCTTATTCTCTTTTTTCCTGTTTGCCACTCTCAAAACAGTAAACTCATGGGACACTTGAAAGCGAGTGAGCAAATTGTCCATTACTTTATGGGGCATGGTTGCCCTTGAACCTTTCAATATTTGGAAGGCTAATATCTAATAAAGGAACAAGTAATCACAAATCGACGGCCACGAGCCCGCCTCCGCCATTACCCGCGGGTTTCGGGATCTCGACACCTGTCAGGCTGTTGTTGGCCAAATCGACTTGTTGGAGCGAGGGGAGGAGAAAGAACCAGGATTGTAAGGTCCCGGAGAACGAGTTTTCACTGAGTTCGACCACTTCCAGCTGAGTCAACCCAGTAAAAGCCGATTTTGGAACCGAACCGGATAAAGAATTGCGCTTTAGAGCGAGTTCCAGCAAGTTGGGGGGCAGTTTTGGAAGTGACCCAGCGAGCTTGTTGAAGCTCAGATCGAGCCTTCTCAAATTGGGCAGCGAATTCATGGCGTTTGGGAGGAACCCAGATAAGAAATTGTGCGAAATGTCCAACGATTCGAGGGATTTGAGGTTGGTAATGGAGGGAGGGAGAGAGCCAGAGAACGAGTTGGATCGGAGAGTTAAACTCTGGAGCTTGGAGAGAGAGGAAATGGAAGATGGGATGGGGCCGGAGAAGGAGTTTTCAGAGAGGTCGAGGGTGGAGAGTTGGGTGAGCTGAGAAATTAGCGGGGTGAGTGTGCCTGAGTAAGCAGCCGGGTCAAGGGTGATCTGGGTGACCCGGGTCGAGTCGGGCGAGCACGTTAATCCGCAAGTGAAGTGGGTTCGGCGAGGGAGGGCGCATGGGTCTGTGGTGAAGTCCCAGGAGGCCAAGCAAGACCATGGCGGGATTGAGGAGGCTTTTATTGAGGCTTTGAAGGCCTTGAGGGCTGAGATGTCTGAAGGTGCAGTGAGGGCTTGAGCTGGAGGGATGTGATTGGAGAGGAGGGAAATGAGAGGAAGGAGGAAGTAGGGGAGGAGGTTGAGGTTGTGCAGAGCCATAGCTTTTATGTTTTGAGTTTGTGTTTTGAGTTTTTGAGCTTTGAAAGAGAGATGGTTTTGAGCTTTTTTATGAAAGAAATGATGTGAAGTGTGGGGTAAGTGGCCGGTGGTGTGGGTTTTGGGATTTCAATAGAGGGTTCCTCTTTTTGTTTTTGTTTTTGGTTTGGGTGTCTATCTGGTTGGAGAGCACTAAGATTTTGGGGTACCAAGAATATTTAATTTTATTTATTTATGATGGATGGGGTGAATCTTCTGGCTGAAACTGAAAGGGTGTTTCACATCACACATGTGTCTACTACTTGTTGACATGTTGGTAATTTTAAAGTTTCTAATTAGGACTTTGGTTGGCTCAAAACCCACAAATTGACATTTTAAAATGGGATTAAAATCTCTCTTTCTTTGCTAATCTTGTTTTGGAGAGAAACTCTCATGCAAAACGGGGATAACAATTTATTATTCATGCCCAATAACATAATGACTCGTATGATAACTTTTCTACATGCCATTATTATTGACTGAGAATAGCAAAATAGTGTTATTCCCATTACAACTTACAAGTTAGGTTTTTTTGCTTGTTTTGGTATGAGATTCTGAGCTAATCTTAAGATATTTGCTTGCTGGCATGGTTGTTTTCTAGTAATATAGGCTAAGAACTAGTTGCATGGTGACATCTTCTTTGTGGGATAAAGGTCTCACAAAGACAGATAACGTCATTGCACAAGAAAGTCTATCAAAGGTTTGGGGGACATGGGTTGGTGCTTTGTAAGAAGGTAGTGACGATCAATTCATTAATAAGTGAAGAACATGATGTGTGTAAATGGTTGTCGGTGTATTGTCTAGGTAGAAGTACTCAAGTGTAAGCACCTTTGAAGCATAGTCTCACCCCTCTGCGGAGATTATAATCGAGTCTCCCAACATTTATAAGCTCACAAAAAGTGGTAGGTATGAACATTGGTACAATTTAACTCAACCAATTTAGTCCAGGCGAGCCACCAAACTAGAATTTGTCTCTCAAATTCCACTATGGGTAGGTAGCAATTAAAAATTTATATATTCTGATAAAATATACCAGATTTCACTAAATATTTAAAGGTAGTGCTTAATTTCATCATCCCAGCCTTATTTTGGTAAAAATTATTGCATGGAATTGGAATATGCGACCATATGATATAAGCAGACCGTGCTTAATTTTATCATCCCATCCTTATTTTGGTAACAATTATTGCATGGGATTGGAAGGCGGCCCTATGATATAAGGAGGCCATGCTTAGGTTCCTCATCCAAGCATTATTTTGGTAAAAATTATTACATGAGACCGAAAGACGGCCATATGATATAAGTAGTTTACGTATTATAATACGAGTGGATCGATGTGTGTGTAAAGAAAACGAAGAAAGTGCTGCTGATGTTGTCTAGACCTGGGCTTTCACTGGCCCAAAGCTTCAATTGGGCAACATATGCCCACACCTGACCTAGCCATGATTTTCTGAGTACAAAATAAAATCAACAATTTGTATAGTAGGGCCTGGAGGCCCTGCAATATCATTGGAGTATAAAAGTCAACTACAAACTCTACGCTACATCAATCCACATTCTATTATATTAGCAAACCAGAAAATCCCAACCTCCTGCTCACACCCAAGCCATGAAACCCACATTCTTCCTCCTCTTCTTCTTCCTTCTCTCCTCTATTTCCTTCTCCCACGCCAACACAGCCTACCCTTCTATTCCCGGCACCACCTCTGTAGAATATGGCGCCGACACCGACGCTCTGATTCCTCCTCGCCGCGAAGTGTATGGCAATGGCCGAATCTTCGACGTCAGCCACCGCTACAGCACCAACATGCCCGCCTTTGAGACCAACGACGGGGTTGGAGAGTTCCTGTGGCTACCCAATAGCATGAAGAACGGCTCCCTCGCCAACAACTCTGAGTTTAAGCTGCCCACTCACACTGGTACCCATGTCGATGCCCCTGGCCACGTCTTCGATCACTACTTCGATGCCGGCTTCGACGTCGATACGCTTGACTTGGAAGTGCTTAATGGTATTTGATTCTTCTCTGTTTCGTTGATGTTGATCATGGGGTCATGAGTCATGGATTGTTTTGTGTTTCAGAGGAGGTTGATGTGGTTTTGAGTGAGTGAGTGAGTGCTATGTGTTCGACGAAATTACACAAGTTTATATGTTTCTATGGGGGGTTTGGAGCTGTATGAGGTAGGCAAGAGGGGCTGCTGGTTTTTTTATAGTTGAAAACGTGGAAAAAGGGTTTTCCGGATTTTGCTCTTTTGGGTGTCCTGAAGTAGTCTGTCTTTCTTTGAGTTTCAGCAATTGGGTTTGCTTTTCTTTGTGATGTTTTCCTCTTGGTATCGTCGATGCATATTAGCTTCTGACCCTGTTCACGATATAAGGTAGAAAAGGGGAAAAAGTTTATTACTTGTGTTGCTATTGCTTGTGCCACTGACATGTTTCTGATGATTATATGTGTTTGTGTCAATAGGTCCGGCATTGTTAGTTGACGTTCCGAGGGATAAGAACATAACTGGTATGTATTTCTGTTCCTGACTATCTATTCTTTATGTGGAGGAACGCATAGCCTGCTGTTTCAGTTGATATGGCCTTATCATTCTGTCACAATATGCATAGAAATATGTAGGCCTTCCCGTATGTAGGCCATCTCTACTGCTTACTCAGCAACGGGAAGGCCAGATAAGTAGCATTTTGGTTGCTAAACAAACTGTACTAGTAAAGGAGTGAGGAGAACATATCAATGTATTATACTTCATTGTTTTTCAGTTTTTGACTGTCGTATATTTACTTATTACAGCTGAAGTTATGAAGTCCTTACATATTCCCAAGGGGGTACGTCGTGTGCTGTTTAGAACCTTAAACACAGACAGGTACTTTTATATGAATGGTCTTTATATACAATTGCCACTAAACACACACAAACACACACTCACTCACAGGTGTCTACCAGTTAAGTTGTATAAATGCAGTGCTTCTGGTCTTCTATCTGTCATATATTTGTTAATGTGCTTTTTTGCTTGTTTTGGTATGAGATTCTGAGCTAATCTTAAGATATTTGCTTGCTGACATGGTTGTTTTCTAGTAATATAGGCTAAGAACTAGTTGCATGGTGACATCTTCTTTGTGGGATAAAGGTCTCACAAAGACAGATAACGTCATTGCACAAGAAAGTCTATCAAAGGTTTGGGGGACATGGGTTGGTGCTTTGTAAGAAGGTAGTGACGATCAATTCATTAATAAGTGAAGAACATGATGTGTGTAAATGGTTGTCGGTGTATTGTCTAGGTAGAAGTACTCAAGTGTAAGCACCTTTGAAGCATAGTCTCACCCCTCTGCGGAGATTATAATCGAGTCTCCCAACATTTATAAGCTCACAAAAAGTGGTAGGTATGAACATTGGTACAATTTAACTCAACCAATTTAGTCCAGGCGAGCCACCAAACTAGAATTTGTCTCTCAAATTCCACTATGGGTAGGTAGCAATTAAAAATTTATATATTCTGATAAAATATACCAGATTTCACTAAATATTTAAAGGTAGTGCTTAATTTCATCATCCCAGCCTTATTTTGGTAAAAATTATTGCATGGAATTGGAATATGCGACCATATGATATAAGCAGACCGTGCTTAATTTTATCATCCCATCCTTATTTTGGTAACAATTATTGCATGGGATTGGAAGGCGGCCCTATGATATAAGGAGGCCATGCTTAGGTTCCTCATCCAAGCATTATTTTGGTAAAAATTATTACATGAGACCGAAAGACGGCCATATGATATAAGTAGTTTACGTATTATAATACGAGTGGATCGATGTGTGTGTAAAGAAAACGAAGAAAGTGCTGCTGATGTTGTCTAGACCTGGGCTTTCACTGGCCCAAAGCTTCAATTGGGCAACATATGCCCACACCTGACCTAGCCATGATTTTCTGAGTACAAAATAAAATCAACAATTTGTATAGTAGGGCCTGGAGGCCCTGCAATATCATTGGAGTATAAAAGTCAACTACAAACTCTACGCTACATCAATCCACATTCTATTATATTAGCAAACCAGAAAATCCCAACCTCCTGCTCACACCCAAGCCATGAAACCCACATTCTTCCTCCTCTTCTTCTTCCTTCTCTCCTCTATTTCCTTCTCCCACGCCAACACAGCCTACCCTTCTATTCCCGGCACCACCTCTGTAGAATATGGCGCCGACACCGACGCTCTGATTCCTCCTCGCCGCGAAGTGTATGGCAATGGCCGAATCTTCGACGTCAGCCACCGCTACAGCACCAACATGCCCGCCTTTGAGACCAACGACGGGGTTGGAGAGTTCCTGTGGCTACCCAATAGCATGAAGAACGGCTCCCTCGCCAACAACTCTGAGTTTAAGCTGCCCACTCACACTGGTACCCATGTCGATGCCCCTGGCCACGTCTTCGATCACTACTTCGATGCCGGCTTCGACGTCGATACGCTTGACTTGGAAGTGCTTAATGGTATTTGATTCTTCTCTGTTTCGTTGATGTTGATCATGGAGTCATGAGTCATGGATTGTTTTGTGTTTCAGAGGAGGTTGATGTGGTTTTGAGTGAGTGAGTGAGTGCTATGTGTTCGACGAAATTACACAAGTTTATATGTTTCTATGGGGGGTTTGGAGCTGTATGAGGTAGGCAAGAGGGGCTGCTGGTTTTTTTATAGTTGAAAACGTGGAAAAAGGGTTTTCCGGATTTTGCTCTTTTGGGTGTCCTGAAGTAGTCTGTCTTTCTTTGAGTTTCAGCAATTGGGTTTGCTTTTCTTTGTGATGTTTTCCTCTTGGTATCGTCGATGCATATTAGCTTCTGACCCTGTTCACGATATAAGGTAGAAAAGGGGAAAAAGTTTATTACTTGTGTTGCTATTGCTTGTGCCACTGACATGTTTCTGATGATTATATGTGTTTGTGTCAATAGGTCCGGCATTGTTAGTTGACGTTCCGAGGGATAAGAACATAACTGGTATGTATTTCTGTTCCTGACTATCTATTCTTTATGTGGAGGAACGCATAGCCTGCTGTTTCAGTTGATATGGCCTTATCATTCTGTCACAATATGCATAGAAATATGTAGGCCTTCCCGTATGTAGGCCATCTCTACTGCTTACTCAGCAACGGGAAGGCCAGATAAGT